GAAGCAAAAGACAGAAGTCCTCAGAAGTAGCTGGGTGTAGTGGCACACAACTGTAATTCCACTGACTCTAGAAGCTGAGGCAGGAGGATTTCAAGTTCGAGGCCAGCCTTCCAATTTAATGGGGTCCTCAGCAACTTAGTGAGACACTATCTTGAAATAAAAAATAAAAAGAGTTGGGGATGTAGCTCAGTGGCAGAGTCCCCAGGTTCTATCCACAGCACAAAAATAAGTAAATAAATAAAAATTCCTAGGATTATAGGACTGTACCACTGGTCTAGATAGAAGTTTCTAATATTAATGATTTATTAATTTCTTTCTTTATGCTTGGTGCTTTTTGTGTCCTGTTTAAGAAAACTGTGTACATGCTGTAATCATGAAGATAGTCTCCTATATTTTCTTCTAGAAACTTTTTCTTTTACTCATTGTAATTCTATCTACAACCCACCTGGAAATTATTTTTTTCCATGGTGCTGGGGTTGAACTCAGGGATTTGTACATGCTAGGTTAGTGCCATGCCACTAAACATAGCATATCCCTAGCACATATTTGATTTTTTTAATGCTACCTATTGCAAATTATATTATTTCAAAATTTCATTTTCCATTCCTGTGGTGCTGGTATATTGAAATATAATTGCTTTTTTTTTTTTTTTTAATTGGCCCTGGAGATGGAGCTGTATCTTAGTGGCAGAGCACTTGACTCACACCTGTGAGGCACTGGGTTCAATCCTCAGCACCACATAAAAATAAATAAAAGTATTGTGTCTATCAACAACTAAAAAAGTTATTTAAAAAAAATAATAAATAGGGCTGGGGGTGTGGCTCAAGTGGAAGCGTGCTTGCCTGGCATGCGTGAGGCACTGGGTTTGATCCTCAGTACCACATAAAAATAAAATAAAGATATTGTGTCCACCTAAAAAACCAAAAATATTAAATATTCTTAAATATTTTTTTTAAAATCCTTAGAAAAACCCCAAAGATATTGTGTGTCCTTCTATAACTAAAAGAATATTTTTAAAAAAATAAAATTAAAATTAGCCTCGAGGCTCCATGTGGTGGCACACACCTATAATCCCAGTGGCTCAGGAGGCTGAGGCAGGAGGATCATGAGTTCAAATCCAGCCTCAGCAAAAAGTGAGATGCTAAGCAACTCAGTGAGACCCTGTTTCTAAATAAAAATAGAGCTGGGGATGTGATTGTGTGGTCAAATACGCCTGAGTTCAATCCCCGGTACCCCCCTCAAAATTAGCATTGACTCCAGCTACCTTGGTAAACTCATTTATACTAGTAGATATAGATAGATAGATAGATAGATGGATAGATAGATTGATTGATTGATTTGTACCTTTCATTTTTTTTCCTTCAGTCTGAGGATTGAACCCAGGAGCACTGTACTTCTGAGCTCAGTCCTTTCTTTGAGATGGAGTCTCTGTAGGTTACTCATCCTTGAGTTGCTAGGGGTATGGCCACTGTGCCTGGCTCTGAGATACTTTTATTACCTGAGATACTATTCATGTAAAAACATTCACAGTGCATTTCCTTCCTTCACCTTCCCATCACCTGTACTGCCACTGTCCCCAATAACCCTCAAGCCACTATATCTTTCTGTAGCTCATGGTGCTATTAAGCTTCACTCATCTGATCCTTCCTCCAGTCTGAAAATTTGTGGAACTCCATGCATATTTATGTAATTCAATATGAGTTTTTTCCTGTTAATCTGCTTTACATCAATTTAATTTATAGCTCAACCAAAGGACCTAGAAGGATGGAGGGAAGCTATTTTTATCTACCCTACAGAGAATAGAAAGAGTTTACATTCACTTGGAAAAGACAACAAATACATTTATAGTCTTTCTCCAGGGCTATGTTAACTCTCCTGTCCTCTATCATAAAATAATCTGAAGACATCTAACCAGCAGGATTTCTCTCGTACCATCACTATTGATCTGCTATATTGATAACATCAGGCAAAGAACCATTGAGCAGGAAATAAATGGCAGGTATGTCCTGATACCTTGGTAAAACCTGCTGTCAAGAGGGTGGGATATTAATCTTATTTCAGAGTTCCCTTCAGGATTAGATGAAACATTGCTACTATTCTACAGCCTAACTTCTGTTCAATTGTGTAGCTTGATGGAAGAGCACTTGCCTAGTATGCATGAGTTTCAATCTCTAGCACAGAAGGAAAAGAGAGAGAATGAGAGAAACCAAAATTAAGAAAGTTTGAGAAGACCATCAAACATATTAAACATTAAAATTGTAATGAGATGGGACTGGGGATATAGCTCAGTCGGTAGAGTATTTGCCTTGCATGTACAAGGTGAACCCAGGACCACAATGAGATATTTAAAACCCTTTGGAAACTTAAATAATGTCAAGTATTGGCAACAAAGTTTGGAGAAATTGAAATTCTATCACTGATTGTGGGAGTATAAATAGGTGGATATTCCAGAGTCAGGAGCCCCGTGTGCACAAGAAATTAACACAGGACCAAACACAGATATGAGGATATTTATTGCAGCATTGAGATGGCGGCAGTAAGTTGGAGACAATCTAAGTTCCATCACTGGGATAGCAAACAAAGTAGTAGGAACCTTGTAATAGAATATCTTGCAGGAGTTAGGAACAATGGACTAGAAGGTCTTGGAGGTCAAAAAAGTTCATTTTGTTTTATTTTTGGTTTTGTTTGTTTTGGTATTGGGGATTAAGCCCAGGTGTGTTCAACCACTGAGCCCAGCCCTTTACATTTTGTACTTTTGAGATTGGGTCTCACTAAATTGCTGAAGCTGACCTGGAACTTGATTCTCATTACAGGTGTGCACCCCTGTGCCTAGCTGATTAACCTTTAATTTTATAGTAAAATAAAACCCAAAATCACTGGCTAAGAGAAAGAAAAGGAAAAAGGGATGCTGGAGGACTAGATAGAGCATTCTGTAAAGCCTCCCTTTCATTTATTCATTTATGGTAGTCCTTAACATTTCTGTTAAGCTGCCAGCTCCATGGCAGCCCTGTGTACTGTTTCTCTAAGTGCTGAAGAATGAACAGATACCAGCAAACCTATCTTGGGATCTAGCTAGGAAGGGTAGTTAGGGTTAAAGATAATGGGAATAAATAGAGCTAGCATTCACTGAATGTTACTTAAAGTAGAGCATACCACAATAATTCCTCTTTAAAGCCAAACAACCTGTTGAGCACAGTGGTGCAGTGTGTAACTCCAGGGATTCCAGAGGCTGAAGCAGGAGGATTGCATGTTCAAGGCCAGCCTCTTGTAATTTAGCAAGACCTCTCTCAAAACATAAATAAATAAATAAACAAATAAACAAATAATTTTTAAAGGCTGGAGATGAAGTTCAATGGTAGAATCAATGGTAGAGCATCCCTGGTTTCAATCTCCAGTACTGGGGGTGGGGGGAAAAACCCCAACAACTTTATAAACTGACATAACTGGAGATTTTTTTTTTCTTTTTGTTGTTCTTTTCTGCAGTGCTAGGGAATCGAACCCAGGGCCTCTCATGGGTTAAGCAAGCAGTCTACCTCTGAAATACACCCGGGTCCTACAATGTGTGTGTGTGTGTGTGTGTGTGTGTGTGTGTGGTTGAACCCAAGGAACCCAAGGGCACTTTACCACTGATCTATACACCCAGCCCTTTTTGTTATTATTGTTATTTTTGAGACAAGGTCTCCATAAATTGTGGAGACTGGCCTTGAATTTACAATCCTCCTGCATCAGCCTTCTGAATTGCTGGGATTATGGGCAAGCGTCATGGCAGCCAGGGAGCCCTATCACTTTTAAACAAGGAAACCAAGGAGTGTTTTCTCCTTCAGAACCAGGGCCCTGAACAGTAGGTTTCCATGAGTCAGTAATAAAAATGAAAGACCTTTCATCTGGATAGAGCAGGTAGGAGCACTTTAAATGGTATTAGCACAGTTACCTGATGAGTGTTTGAATCCCAGTGGATGAAGCTCCAGTCTCAGGACATAAGAAATTCTAGGTAAAATCAGTAGACCACTGAGCCTCTCTTCCCAATCAGTAGACCACTGTCTCCAGGTAGATAAACTTGAAGAAAAACCCTAAGTTCCATTTCTGGTAAAATGGAGAGTGATGTAGCCTAACTCACATGTTTTTCATGTTAAGTAGCACATTCTCTAAGGCACTAAGTTTGGGGAAATGCTTTGCAAACGAACTGTTTCATGGTAATATATATACATGGTAATGGTTTTGCTGCTGTTGTTACTAGTAACACTGTTGGGCAAGAGGTCCAGGTCCAGGTGAGGCCAACCTCCTGGGAAGGTGACCTTTGGCAAAGAATGAATCCTCTGAGTATATTTCCATACTGAGCAGGAAAGAATTTTAGCCTCTAGTCTTGAGGTATGTGTGTGGTGGTAGTGGGTGTTTCTTCCTCAAGAATCCACGAGCGAACCTATCTCTGAAACTTGGGACGCAGGAGTATGGCAAATTCCAGGCCAGTTAGAAAACTTAGCGTGACTGTCTCAAAAAAAAAAAAAAAAAAAAAAGTCTGGGAATGTAGCTCAGTGGTAGAACGCTTTTGTGGGCTCAATCCTGGGTTCAATCCCCAGTACCAGAGGGGCGGGGAGTCTATTGTTTTCCAAGTCTCTGGGGGAAAATAATTAGGCTTTCTGTTCAAGATCTTGTGAAGCCAATTTAAAGGATTTGAAATACAACGTCTTGTGGGGCTTCACTGTCGCGGGTTGTGCACAAGGGGGCGCCAGTCGGATTCCTTCGGGAACTAGCAGGGTTTGGGGCAAAAACCCCCGCGCGGCCGACAGCCTCAGTACTTGGATGCAGGAGCTGATGTAGGAGGTCCCAGGGGTTCATGCGTTTAGTGCACTCAGTCTCTGGTGACCTATTCGCGTTCCCCTTCACTGCTCCCTTCTCTTTCCTTTCTCGCGCCTGGGAGGGTGCCAGAGACTGTGGTGGGGTCGGGCTGCCCATCTGGGTCCCTAAAAGAGCGGCGGAAACTTCAACCGCCCGGACGGCGCGGTCACACACACTCCAGAGTGGAAGGGGAGGCAGCTGTTCGCCCAGGCAGCCGTGAGGGGCAGCAGAGGGGACAGCGACAGGTGCGGGAGCCCTTCCCCGAGTCGAAGTGGGAAGGCGGGCTCTGGGGTCTGTTCCCAGGCTGGAAACCACCCCCCGCCTCCCAACCAAATCCCCCGGAGAGGCCGGGCCGGCGCCGGGTCTGGAGGAGGAAGCGGCCGGAGACAGTGCAATTTCACGCGGCCTCTGGGGCTCGGGTTCCCGGGCAGGGTGGATGAATTATGGGGCTTTGAGTCTCGGGGAAACTGAGGTGGACTGAGCGTGAGAGGGCGGGGGTCCGACTCTCCCCACTCAAAAACACACAGAGAAATATTCACATTCAGAGAAAATCCCTCAAGTGACCCAACCGGCTAGGGGAGTTGAGTGATTTGGATAAGGGGCGAGGCCAACTTTCAGGGGGCCGGGCTTTAGAGCTCTCTCCCCAACCGCATTCAATGCCTTCCCCGAATTGGGGGCATTTCGAATCTCGATCTTCCCTTAGCCCAGCTCCTAAAGAAATTTTAGAGTGACACCCGGTTCGATCTGCTTGGCCGCGCTGCGGGTCGGTGGGGCGCGGGTGGCACGCTCTGGGCCGGCTGTCGGAGACTGCGGCAATCCCTACTCCAGCCTCGCACGGGAGGGGGCGCGGCCGTGACTCACCCCCTTCCCTCTACGTTCCCTCCCTCCCTCCCTCTCTCCCAGACTTACACCCTCCCCTGCCATCCCGCTCCGGACTTCGGCTCCGGCTCCGATTGCAGTTTGCAACCTCCTCCTCCGCCGCCGCCACCAATTCGCTGGCGGCTCAGGTGGCTGTCGCTTCGATGTCCTAGTCCAGGGACCCCCGGGCCGGACTCGGCTGGGCCCTCTTCGCTCTCCGCTGGAGTCATGAAGGCAAATCGGGCTCTGCAGGTGCTGGGTTTCCTTCTCAGCCTGGCCCGGGGCTCCGAGGTGGGCAACTCGCAGGCAGGTAAGTGGCGTGGGTGCACCAACTGGCTGGAATCTGGGAGCAGCCGGACCGAATGCGTGCAGACCCTGAGGGCAGGGGCGAGGGCAAAGGAGTGCCAGGCTGGGGGTGCGACCCTGAGTCTGCTGCGACCACCTGGGAGGGGTCGGTTAGGCTTGGGTTCTCGGCGTGGTGCGGACAGAGACTGCATTCCTGGACGGCTCACCCCTTCTTCTTCAGGGCGTCGCAGATCCTCTAATTGGTCTCCCCTGATAAGATTGATGTTGAAACAGTATTTCACACTTCTGAGGGGCTTTGCAGGGAGAAGAGCAGGATTCTCCTTTCTGTAAACATGGGAGCTGTTGTGGGTACGGTGGGCAGTGGTCCTTGGCGGAAGGGCCCCATCTTGATTTCTGGCACCCCTGGCTCTCACCCCACCCTGGGTTTCGTCAACCCCCAGTTTCGTTGTTTTGCCCACAGGGGCGGAGCTGTGGGAGGGTTGGAGGGGGTTGTTGTTTTCTGGTGTTGGAAAAACAGGAATGGCACCTCCTCTTCCTGGGGCCTGCCCTGGGGAGTACTGAGATTAACTACTGGGCCAAGTCCAGGTGACACCAGGGTGAGAGGCCCAACAGAGGCTGGCTGCCTGCTTATCCTCAACATAAAGCTGGCTAGACCCCAACTTGACCAACCTCTCTTTGTCAACACTTAGTCAATTCAACTAATATTTATTGAGCATCTACTATATACAGGGCCAGGTAGGGGAAATGTTGTAGGGGAAATGACATTCAGACTTTATTTCTGTTCACTTTTTCTCTTCCCTGAGGACCAAGTGGGTACTTTGCCTACTTCTGAACCTTCTGTCCTGGAAAGTCATTCCTAGGCCTTACTCCTATCCCTCTCTCATTCTGTTTATTGTCTAACTCCAGAGTCCTGGGTTACTCATCTCTATTCCTCTTCCCAGTCCCATACCATCTGAGCCCAACCATGTGAGGGTCTCTGGGACTATGGACACCTGAAGAGTGGTGGGATTAGAGTCTTGTTAGTCTCCCCCCTCCCCCCAGATCTCTGCTTGGGGTTTGGCACAGCTAGGGCCCCTTCCCCAGGGTGGGAGTGGGAGAAACCACCTGTGCTTCCCCCACAGTTGCTGGGCCTAAATTTAGCCCCTGGGATCTTGAGATGTGAACACTCCCTGCTGGTGGAGGGAGGTGGTCTGGGGACTGGAGTGGGAGGGGCCAGTGGAATGACTATCACTGTCCCATCCAGACCCCTGGAATCTTTAACCCCGAACCCAAGAGTCCCAGATTCTAGCTACCCTCCATAAGAGAGGCAGGAGGCAGACATGGTTGAGTCTTTACCCTTTATCTGGATCCTGTAGCCTCTGGGCATCCGGCCCTGTCTCAGGCCTTCTATAGCCCCTTTGTCCCTACTGTGATGGGGGTGGGGGACATCAGAGAGGAGGCCTCTGGTTGAGGGGGGGGGCTGGACATTCTTGTCTCCCACCCCCAATGTTTTCTACTAAAGGAGGGACACTGGCTCTCCTATGCTTTCCTGGTTCCTGGGTACAGCAGGGGTTTTTATAATTCCCTTCCTCCTGCCCTACTCCCCATGTTGCCTGGTTCCTCCCCAGAGTTGTTGTTTATACTCCCTTCCTGCCCAGGCCCTTTGCCCCCTGTGTGAAACATGGACTTTACCCTCAGGGTGTCAGACAACTGGGACTATAGAACTATTGCCTTCCACACACAGACATAAAGTCTGCATCCGAGCTGTGGGCAGGTGGGATGGATGCTGCCACCTGCAATACTTCCTGATAAGGATCCTAAGGGCAGACCAATGTCGATTTCTGGGCCAGCAGGGAAGCTGTGTTCACGTGTGTGTTTGTTGTGCTTGTACCCATGCACATATCACTTCCCTGTGAAGAAATCTTGGCTCCTCCCTTATCTGGGAAGAAGGGTTGGCGCCTTAACTTAGAAAAGGGGGTGTCCTTCCAGGAAGGGGGTTGGGGTGGGACTGTTCCAGAAATGACTAACCTTCCTAGTCTCTTTCAGTTCAGTCCAAGGACCCTAGAATTCCCAGTCTCCTCTGGGACCTCCCTGCCTGTTTACTCCTCTTGGCTGAGACTAGCCCACCCCTTCCCTTCAAGGGGAGTGATAGGAAGAGGAACCCTCAAAGATCAAGTGGTCAGACTAGGGATGTATCTAGCAGGAGGCGTTGGAGCCTCTCAATCTCCCTCTCCTCTGTTTTGTACTCTTGCCTCCCACTGGGCTGCCACTGCCTCAGGGAAGGGTGGCTGGAACAGGTGGTATCTATTCCCCTACTCTCCACCCTCCACACCGGCCTTTCACTGAGCCAGAGAAAAGAGACAGGTATACATAAGGCTTCAGGGTCCAAGATTTCCCATTGCCCATTGTCTTTCATATTTACAAAGGAAAGTGAAAACCCAAGACTGCCTGCTAGGTGCTTGCACCCTTGTCTAGGCTGTCCTCCACTGTGTGGAGAGGAGTGCCACGTTGGAAGTCGGCTTAATGAAGCTCTTCTGACAATGAGATTGGTAGGAGGCTTGGGAGTGTGTGTGTGGCAGTGTCTTCTGCTGTTTCCCTCCAGGCTTCTCTGTATTTAGGGCTGGAAAGGGATGCTGAGTGAGTGGAATATATTGGGATAGGGGAAGGGAGTGAGAAGGGAAGCCAGAGTTTAGGAGGAGGGAAGCTGCCAGCTTCTTATCTTCCAGCTTTAAAGACAAAGCTGCCATTGACCCCACCACCATCACCAGCAGAGCTCCCCCCTATAGTGAGGTCACTTGTCTGAGCCCAAAGCTCCAGGGTGGAGGGGTATGTGTGAAGGGGGGTGCAAACTCTGCAGAGGACCGGCATCTGGGACAGGGTGGGGCAGCCCCCTCCTCCTGGATAGAATTGCTTCATTGTGGGCTGAACTGTGGCCCCGGGCACTGCCCCCACCTCTGCCCCCATCCCACCCTCAGTAGACACAATAGGGGCTGTGTGCTAACCCCAAAGAGATATTTATTCCAGGACCTAGAGAGAGGCAGGACAGGGGTAGAAAAGTCAGTGGCCTGGTTGAGAGGGAGAGGAGGGTAATCAAAGTTGTGGTCCTTGCCTAACTTCTCCCTCCAGGAGGGGAACAGTCCCTTATGTCTTCCTTCTGGATTAACCCTTTTGTACCCAAAGTAGAACCTGAAAAAGACTTCCAGAGGGCCCTGGTAGAAAAAGAAAATCTTGTCAACTTTCCATTCAGGGGATGGTGAGGGCATTCTGAAAAGGGAGGAGACTCTTAGGCCATGATTGGCACCTCTGTCTGTCCCTAGTAGGAAGAGTCAGCGGCAGCTGCCTTTTGATCCTTCTTTAATGTTACTAGAAGAGGGCAACCAAAGGAGTGTTGTTGGGGGATGGCAGATGGGACTGAAAACTTTGTATCCAGCCCTCTGCCACTTTTCCTCTGTTTTGAATAGTGTGTCCCGGGACCCTGAATGGGCTGAGTGTGACTGGTGATGCTGAGAACCAATACCAGACACTACACAAGCTCTACGAGCGATGTGAGGTGGTGATGGGGAACCTTGAGATTGTGCTCACAGGACACAATGCTGACCTCAGCTTCTTACAGGTGAGAGTGTCTGATCCCTTCTTCAACCTGTTCTCCCTTATTCTGTACAAAGGAGACTCCTTCCCTCCTTTAGGACCATCCTTTGCTGAGTTTAGCATTCTTAAGACTCAGTGGTAAGTCCTAAGATTCAAAGCTATGTAATTTTGGAGACAGTGGCTGGAATCTGGGACCTCTGATCTGAAGGCTGTAGCCAAGGATGTGTAGGTACTGGCCATTAGGCAGGGACAGGGGCAGATGGTGGTACAAAGTAATTAGGGACTAATACAGGGAGACACTTAAGGACCTGAGGACCCAGAGGCACTTGGAGAGATGGGGAAGGGACTAAGCCAGGACCCTCCTCCCTAGTATGAGGAGGTCTGAGAAGAATAGGGTAGCAAACTTGAATTCCTCAGTTATTTTTACTGCCTTTTTCACTAACCAAAATGACACAGTAATGTGACATAGCTTACCCCCTACTCCAGAATAGGAATTCAAAGAGGTCAGGCACAATGGCACATGCTGTAATCCCAGCTACTCATGTGGCTGAGGCAGGACAATCACTTAAGCCTGGGAGGCCAACCTGGGCAATGAGTTAAGGATGCCAGAGTGGGGGTAGGGGTGTGGCTCAGAGATAGAGTGCTTGCCTAACATGTGTTATATCCCTGTGTTATATCCCCAGCACTGAAACAAAAAAGAAGAGTTAGGGATTTCTTAATTCCTTAAGGAGGGAAAGGGGACTAAGTTCTTTTGCTCCATTGTCTTCTCTCATTGACATAATCTGCCCCCTCACAGTGGATCCGAGAGGTGACAGGCTATGTCCTTGTGGCCATGAATGAATTTTCTACTCTACCATTGCCCAACCTCCGAGTGGTGAGAGGGACCCAGGTCTATGATGGGAAGTTCGCCATCTTCGTCATGTTGAACTACAACACCAACTCTAGCCACGCTCTGCGCCAGCTCCGCTTCACTCAGCTCACCGGTCAGTTCCTGATGATTCCTTCTGGCCTTGCCCTCAGCCATCCTGCTGGCAGGCACCTCCTTGATGATGACCCAAGACTCCTCACTCTAAGTGCTCTTTCTAAGATGCTCAACACCTTGACCAGTATGGTCTAAAGACTCTCCATTCATTAAGTAGAGGATTCCAGTAGGAAGCTCAGGGCATCTGTTCAGGAGAGTGGGTCCTTATGTCATGGTGGGGCTGGAGTTGGAGCTGGGTTTATTACCCATGCCTTTTGTTGCAAAGTACAGTGTACCTTGATACGCCTCCTTCCCTGGAATCCTACCTTCAGTCCCTCTCCAATCCCCACAAGATGGAGGACTGTAGGGATTAAATACCATCAGGCAACCTTCTACTCTCCCTGTCCCAGTCAGTTGGAAAACACTCAGGTAGGCCCGGGGGGAGGGGGCATTGAGTCAGAGATGTCCTTTCTTTTCCTTCCCCTCCTCCACTGGCTAAACCGGATCTGGACAGGTGTCTGAAGAGGCGGGAGTTTCTTTGGCCTGACTCCTCCTCTTAGAAGGCAAGCCTTTCCCGCAGTGAAGGATCTGATTGGACTGTCTGCCGTGTTTCCCCTGCTCCCGGGTCCCTGGTGTCCTTTTGGACTTGGAGGTAGGGAAAAGGAATACTGTATTCCTTAGCTTGTCACTTCTTTTCCCTACCTCAGAGATTCTGTCAGGGGGCGTTTATATTGAGAAGAATGATAAGCTTTGCCACATGGACACAATTAACTGGAGGGACATCGTGAGAGACCGAGATGCTGAGATAGTGGTGAAGGACAATGGCAGAAACTGTGAGTGGCTATGATCAAGGCTATGATCCTGTCCCACCAAATCAATGACTCCTTTCCCATGTTCATTACATCCCTAGTCTGAACCTGCCCCTCCACTAAACAGTCACCTTAAGCCCTAGGCCCAAAAGCCTGTCAGAAGATACCAGGTCAGTCTCCTGGAATCCAAACCACAGAAGCAGTGTATTAGGAAAGGGGGCCAAAATCTCCGGGTACTAATCAGGGAAGCCAGGTCTTTGCACTGCACATCCATTACTCTTTCTGATCTAAGATCTCCCTGCCTACACTGACCAGAATCTAGTACTCCCTGTTCATTCACAGGGACAATTTCTGCTGGGTTCAGTTTGCCCAGAAAGAACTGAGTTCCTGGGTTGGGGTTGGGGCAGAGCTTGGCATTTGCCCCAGTCCCTCCCATTCAGCTGCCCAGTGGGCGGTGTGGAGGCGGGGGCTCCACCCATTGTTGACAGGTTCACTTGAGCCCAGCCCTGCTCTCCAAGGGCGGGGAGGGACACTGCCCTGACTTTTGCTTCCCGGGATTGAGGTGCCTGTGTGCTGACATCATACCCTGTTGATTCAAGCAAGCAAGCCTATCTTAGACCTGACAGCCCCTGCGTTCTCTTCCTTCCCATCAGGTCTCCCCTGTCATGAGGTCTGCAAAGGGCGATGTTGGGGTCCTGGACCAGAAGACTGCCAGACATGTGGGTTTGAATTTCCCTCTAAAAACTTCAAGTTTCATATTCCTGCCTACCCAAGCCTGTGTCAGTCTGAGGGTAGGAATGGACTAAGGGTTCAGAATTCAATCCAAAGAGTCCTGACAGCCATGCTTTCTCTTCTTCCATAGTAACCAAGACCATCTGTGCCCCTCAATGTAATGGCCACTGCTTTGGGCCCAACCCCAACCAGTGCTGTCATGATGAGTGTGCAGGGGGCTGCTCAGGCCCTCAGGACACTGACTGCTTTGTACGTATTCACTCTGTGTGCCTGGGTTCTGAAATGGGGATGTGGGTTTGGGGGAGGAAATAGGGTACTGTGTATGTGCCACAAATTTTCAATCTGTGTTCTTAGGCCTGCCGACACTTCAATGACAGTGGAGCCTGTGTGCCCCGGTGCCCACAGCCCCTTGTGTACAACAAGCTAACTTTCCAGCTGGAACCCAATCCTCACACCAAGTACCAGTATGGAGGAGTTTGTGTAGCCAGTTGTCCTCGTAAGTGACAGGAAGGAAAAAGGATAGTGGATGCAGGTTTTTAGACATACTTTTGAGAGTCAAAATGGACTGAGTTAGGTGACAAATAGGAAACCTAGACAGTAAATGGTTGTGATCACTAACTTCCCCCATGAGTGACCTCTGTGTCCTATCCTCCTAGCAACTATGGCCTTTAGCAGCAACAAAGAGCAGACTTCATTGTTCCATCTGCATGACCTCCAGCTATGGCCCTTAGGAGCTGCATAGAGCAAAAGGACTTTCTAATCTATAGGATAGCACTTAAGTAACCTAAAATGGGGCAAATTTAGTGCAGAGCAGAGCAAAGACTCAGAGGAGGCATTCCATTGGTATGTTGGCAGTGTTCCCCGCTCATCTCTAGTGGTGCCTTCTTCTCTAGATAACTTTGTGGTGGATCAGACCTCCTGTGTCAGAGCATGTCCTCCTGACAAGATGGAAGTAGATAAAAATGGGCTGAAGATATGTGAGCCTTGTGGTGGGCTATGCCCTAAGGGTGAGTAGGAGATGGTAAGAAATTATGACGAGACATCCTTTTCTCTGAGACTAGTCAGGCCACCTCCCTTCACTGAGCTTCTTTTGTATTTGCAGCCTGTGAGGGGACAGGCTCTGGGAGCCGCTTCCAGACTGTGGACTCCAGCAACATCGATGGGTTTGTGAATTGCACCAAGATCCTGGGCAACCTGGACTTTCTTATCACTGGCCTCAATGGGTTAGTAGAGATTGTGCCTTCTCTCCCCAGGTCCTACCCCAACCACCCACACAGTTCATTTAATCAGCCTAAACCTTCCCTATGTAGAGCTGATCAGGAATGTAAGTCATAAAACTTTAGCAGTGGTAAAGGAACTGAGAGAATGCTGAACTCAACCTCCTATCCTGGGCTTGAATCCCCTCAGGGAACATCCTTTAGCAATCCAGTGTCACTCTGAGGACTGATGCTATACAGGGACAGTGTCTAAAAGTTTGTCTTTCAATTTCAGATAGAAATATGCTGTTCTTGGGTTGGGGATGTGGCTCAAGCGGTAGCGCGTTCGCCTGGCATGTGCGGGGCGCTGGGTTTGATCCTCAGCACCACATAAAAATAAAATAAAATAAAGAGTTGTGTTCACTGGGTGGGGGGGAAGAAATATGCTGTTCTAGCTCTTTTCTCTAGTTCTCCTCCTTGGAACAACAAAGGGCAAAGGGACTTTCTGATCCATAGGTTAGCACTTAAACTGTGTATGTAGGAATGGGATGGGGAAGACTATAGCCACCTGCTGTTTTCACTTTTTACTTGTACATAATTTTAGATCTACACTGCAGTTGCAAGAATGATATATTTTCTATACACTCTTTATTCACATTACCCAAATGTTAACATACCACACATGATTTTATCATTCCTCTCTACTCATACATACTACTCAAGAGTATTGTGTTTCTGAACCACTGGAGGGTGAAGCTTCAGACATATGCTCCCTTAACTCTGTTATATTTCAGTGTGTATTCTTTGAAAACAATAACATTTCTTTTCTTTTGGTACTAGGGATTGAACCCAGGGCCTTGCACCTGCTAAGTGTTTGTTCTACCATTGAGTTACACCCGCCCTAAGAACATTTTTTATCTAACCAAAGTGTAGTTGTATGTAAATAAAAAAATTAATATTGAGGCTGGGTGCTGTGGTGCATGCCTGTAATCCCAACAGTACAGACTGAAGCAGGGGGATCATAAATTTGAGACCAGCCTTGGCAATTTAGCGAGACCCTGTCTCCCCCTCAAAATTAAAAGGCCTAGGGGAGTAGCAGTGTTAGAGTGTCCCTGAGGTCAAACCCCAGTACCACAACTCCCCAAGAAAAACCCAAAATAAACAAAAAACATTGTAATCAAATATTATCTAGTTTATAGACCTTTCTCAGAATCCACTAATTGTTCTACTAATGTCCTACATACAGTTACTATGTCTCTTTAATCTCCTTTAATCTATAATAGTTCCTCAGTTTTTGCTTATCTTTCATGACATTGACATTGTTGATGAGTACAGGTCAGGTAACTAGTATAATATTTTTCAATTTGGATTTGTTGGATGTATCCTCATTCTTTTTTTTTTTCCTTCTTTCTTTTTTTGGTGGCATGGATCTAATTATTCTGGGCCTCACACATGCTAGACAAGGGTTCTATCATTGAGCTATATATCCCTAGCCAAATTAGGCATTTTTGATAGCCGTATCTCAGATGTTGTATTTGTGGTACATCATATCAAGGATACAAAGGATGTTGTTGATTTGTTCCATTGCTGATGATAATCTTCCTAACTTGGGTAAGGAGATATCTAATAGTTTTTTCCACTATAATTACTATTATGCCCCTTTGCAATTAATATATTAAGAGACATTTGCTTGAATAATTTATTATGCCTAAGGATGATAAATTAATTCTCTTATTCCTTCTGCATTTATTCGTTGGCATTCTAGAATTAGGAAGAGTCTCTCCTTCCTATTTATTTATTTATTTAATGGTGCTAGGTATTGAACCCAGACCCTTGTACCTGCTAGGCAAGTGTTCCAGCTACACTCCCAACCCTGATTTATTTTATCAGTGTGGATACTTAATATTCAATTGTTTATGAACCTTTACAGTCATTATTTATTTTATTGTTCGGGTGTCCTTTCCTTTGGCCATTGGGAGCCCTTTCAAGCTGGCTCCCTGCTCTTTGCATGGGTATCCTGCATTCTTTGAGCACTTCCTTTCTTTTCTAGCACAAGGTCTGTAGGCTCAGATTATATTTTCCCTGCTGAAATCTTTTCTTCAAAGAGCCCTGTTTTATTTGGGTAGAAAATGGCTTTTAGAAATCAAGTTCAGTTGGGTTAGGGGTGAGTTCAGTGGTAGAGCACTTGCCTAGCAAGTGTACTCCTTACTACCGAGTTATATCTCCACCTTATTGACCAATTTTTACTGTTCTCCCCAGAGATCCCTGGCACAAGATCCCTGCACTGGACCCTGAGAAGCTCAATGTCTTCCGGACAGTACGAGAGATCACAGGTGAGTGGGAGAAGAAGCTGCCTTCTCTTGGAGGAATAGATGAACCATTGGTAAAAACTGCTGTGTATCTGCTTGAGAAAATCATGTCCCAAGGAATAGGCGAGGGGCCAAAAGAACTACAAAAGAGGAAGGGGAGATGGCTCCTTGCTCATATGCGTTTCTTTAATCCCTCAGGTTACCTGAACATCCAGTCTTGGCCTCCTCACATGCATAACTTCAGTGTTTTTTCCAACCTGACAACCATTGGAGGCAGAAGCCTTTACAAGTGAGTAAGGGGTTTGGAGGTGGTAGCAGCTCCAGAAAGTTGAGTAATCTTTTTAAAAATATACAGTAACGTCTCATGCAGCAGGCCCAAAGGTTCTCCAAATTTGATGGGGAAAGGGGAAAAAGGAAAAGGAGGGAGATTTCCTTTGTGGGTCTGACTAACCCAGAACAGATTTGTTGAATGAAAAATGAATCCTCTACATGTTTAATTTTCCATTTGTAGTCTGCCCTCTCATCCTGTCTCCTTATTCTCAGCCGGGGCTTCTCATTATTGATTATGAAGAACTTGAATGTCACATCTCTGGGCCTGCGATCCCTAAAGGAAATTAGTGCTGGGCGTATCTACATAAGTGCCAATCGGCAGCTCTGCTACCATCACTCTCTGAACTGGACCAGGCTGCTTCGGGGGCCTGCAGAAGAAAGACTAGACATCAAGCATAATCGGCCCCGCAGAGACTGTGGTGAGGGAAAAGGCCCAGTGGGTGGTGAGAATAAGGAGTCAGGAAGGCAAGGATGTAAGGACTATTCTGTCCCAGATGTGGTAGTAGTGTTGGGGGATGGAACCAAAGAGAAGGGGGGTGTTAGGCTAGAAATAATGAGGAAGGATTCAGGAGGGGGCTTTCCAAAAGTCCTCAGACTCCTCTCCTAATTTATCCCTTCTTTTCCAGTGGCAGAGGGCAAAGTGTGTGACCCACTGTGCTCCTCTGGAGGATGCTGGGGCCCAGGCCCTGGTCAATGCTTATCCTGTCGAAACTACAGCCGAGGGGGTGTCTGTGTGACCCACTGCAACTTTCTAAATGGGTACAGTGAGGGGAGGCAGTCAAGAAGGGATGGGGTGTGCTGGGCACTGTGGTATATGCCTATAATCCCTATGACTTGGGAAGCTGAGACAGGCAGTTTGCAAGTTCAAAGCCAGCCTCAGCCACTTAGTGAGGCCCTAAGCAATTCAGTGACACCCTGTCTCAAAATGAAAAATAAAAAGGGCTGGGAATGTGGGCACTGGGCACTTACCCACTGGATGGTTCAATCCTCTATACACCCCCTGCAAAAAAAGGGGTTGGGTAGGCCTGGGATGTAGCTGTCCAGGTGGCACCTGACAGCCTTGGTGGCAATGAAGTAGGAGATCCTCATGCAAGATCAGGGAATTAAATTCAGGACTTGGAAGTGACCTCTCTTCCTTTATCCCTCACTGCAGGGAGCCTCGTGAGTTTGCCCAGGAGGCTGAATGCTTCTCCTGCCACCCGGAATGCCAACCCATGGAGGGCATTGCCACATGCAATGGCTCGGTATAGTACCTCTAAGGGAGACAGGGAAGGGCAAGACTTAGAGTGTCCAAGGAATGATATGTTCAAATTCCCATCATGGCATAAAGAGACCAGACAATGATAGAGTATGTGGAGGATCCTGTAAATACATCTGAATGGCTGGGTTGGTTCTTGCTAGAAGGTATGGAATTAACATTAGGATCCCATTCTAAGATCCTGACCTTCTCTCTTCTACCCAGGGCTCTGATGCTTGTGCCCAGTGTGCCCATTTTCGAGATGGGCCCCACTGTGTGAGCAGCTGCCCTCATGGAGTCCTAGGTGCTAAGGGCCCCATCTACAAATACCCGGATGTTCAGAATGAATGTCGGCCCTGCCATGAGAACTGCACCCAGGGGTCAGTGATGGGATGATAAGAAGAGGGGGTCAGGGAAAAGGGTAGAAGCACAGATCTAGGGTAAGTGGAATAGAAGTAAGACAGGGACTGTGATTTAAGAATCACTCCCAGCTCTGTAGTAATGGATTAGAGGAAGAAGGCAAACTCAGTTTTAGGAACCTGGAATAACCTCAGCTCTGGGTCATTTAAGGGAGGATTGGAGAGGGCTGGTAAGCTGAAGATGGAGACTGAGTCTTGGGATAGACTTTGGAGCCCAGGATGGGATCCCATAGTAGGTTCTGAAATAAGCTTTTAATGTTAAGCTGTTGGATTTAAGTCTCTGTTGTCCAAGTGCCTATCTAAGATGGTGATTTTCTTCTCTAGGTGTAAGGGACCAGAGCTAAAAGATTGTTTAGGCCAAACACTGGTGCTGATCAGGTAAGATGGGCTTGGAGATTTTGGAAGCTGGTATATTTGGGAGAGAAACTAGGGAGAGAGGGTGGTTAACTTGAGTTGGGGAGAGCCAAGATTTAGGTTAACCCCTTCATTGCTCAAGAATATATGTATATGTAAATGTTAACTTGCTCCAGATTTGCACTATACCTTTAACACAAATATAGATGACGTTTGTGAGGGAGATGTAAATACACCTAGGTTTCTTTGTATTCCATAGCAAAACCCATCTGGCAATGGCTTTGACAGTAGGATTGGCAGTGATTTTCCTGATTCTGGGTGGCACTTTTTTGTATTGGCGTGGGCGCCGGATTCAGAATAAAAGGGCTATGAGACGCTATTTGGAACGGGGTGAGGTGAGTATTTAGCTTAATTTTGAGAGGTACCCAGGGATAAATGATGGGATGAGGCTTTCCTCTTCTTTCTCTGGAGATTTAATCCCTTTCTTCAAGGAAATAGTATGGTCCACTAGAAAGAACACTGGGAATTGGGAGGCTTACATTATATTTCTGATTTTGCCATTAATTTGCCATATGAGGAGCTGGGTACAGTGGTGCATGCCTGTAATCCCAACTACTTAGGAAGTTGAGATAGAGGCTTCTAAAGTTCAAGGTTATCCCAGGCAACCTAGCAAGACCCTTGCTCAAAATAAAAAAGGGTTGGGGCTATAGCTCAGTGGTAGAACATCCCTGGGTTCAATCCCCAGTACTATACACACACACACAAAGATAATATTTTGCTATGTGACTTTGAAGAAGTTATGTGCCTTCTCTGTGCCTCAGTTTAAGAATCTATACAGAGAAATTAACATTCTTCTTTCTAGGATGGGTGAAAGGGGATAATGTATGTGAAAATGCTTTCCAAAGCCAGAACATTGTGTAAAAGACCCTTAAGGTGATAGTATGACTAAGTTTCCTCAGCCCCCTCCTACTATTCTCTCAAAGGGGAAACCCAAACTGCTTGACTCCTGATTTAAAAAGCAAAAACAGGGGCTGGGATTGTGGCTCAGCAGTAAAATGCTCGTCTAGCATGTGCGAGGCCCTGGGTTTGATCCTCAGCGCCACATATAAATAAATAAAATAAAGGTATTGTGTCCAACTACAACTAAAAAATAAATATTAAAAAAAAAGCACAAAAAACTTCCTCAATTCTCAGGGCCTATTATTCCTCAATCTGCTTATGATGTTTCCCAGGACTAATGACTATTCCTCTTCCTGCCCTTAGTTCATTGGGCTCTGCTGCCTTTAGTATCCATCTATGGGGAGCAGGTAGGAGAGGGACATGAGACTGGGCTTTCCTGAGAAACTCCTTCCCATCCACTCCTCAGAGTATAGAGCCTCTGGATCCCAGTGAGAAAGCTAACAAAGTCTTCGCCAGAATCTTCAAAGAGACAGAGCTGAGGAAGCTTAAAGTACTCGGTTCAGGTGTCTTTGGAACAGTGCACAAAGTGAGTGACCTACAGAAGTATGGGGAGGTGGAAAAAGGATCTAGGGCAGAGGGAAGAAAGATTTTGGCAAAGGATTTCCTTACCTGGTGTGGTGGCACATATCTATAAACCCAGTGAGATGGGAGGCTGAAACAGAAGGATTGCAAGTTGGAGACCAGTGTTGCCAACTTAGTGAGACCCTGTCTCAAAATAAAAAATAAAAAGCGCTGGGAATGTAGCTCAGTGGTAGAGCACACCTGAGTTCAATCCCCAGTACTACCAAAGGGGAAAAAAAAATTCTGGAAAAGGACTGACCTGGGGAAAATGACTTTGACTCCCACCCTTAACTTTCCAGGGAGTATGGATCCCCGAAGGTGAATCAATCAAGATTCCAGTTTGCATTAAAGTCATTGAGGACAAGAGTGGACGGCAAAGTTTCCAAGATGTAACAGATGTAAGTGAAGGAAGGGGATTCTGTATGCCACTAGGAGAGAGGACAATATTACATATAGTCATATAGAATCAGAGTCCTGTGTTAGCAGATACCATGTTAACCATGCTACAATATTTGGCTTTAGGGAAAATCATGGTCTGGGTGTGTGTGTTGAGTATACATGAACCTGTTTGTTCCCTGGATAAACACCTCTTGTATTTTGTAGCATATGCTGGCCATTGGCAGCCTAGACCATGCACACATTGTTCGGTTGCTGGGACTATGCCCAGGGTCATCTCTGCAACTTGTCACTCAGTACTTGCCTCTGGGTTCCCTACTGGATCATGTGAGACAACACCGGGGAGCACTGGGGCCACAGCTGCTACTCAACTGGGGAGTACAAATTGCCAAGGTGAGAGGGGCATGGAATATTTCTATAATAACTGCCAAGCTGGAGGTAGTCAGGAAGGGTCGGGAAGTCTGACGTTTTTAAGTTGTGAGAGGGCCTTCAGAGTTTAGAGGGGATTCTCAAAAACTGACTCCCCAATCCTTAGATTATTTCTTTCTCCTGCAGGGTATGTACTACCTTGAGGAACATGGTATGGTGCACAGGAACCTGGCTGCCCGAAATGTGTTACTCAAGTCACCCAGTCAGGTTCAAGTGGCAGATTTTGGTGTGGCTGACCTGCTGCCACCTGATGATAAGCAGCTCTTACACAGTGAGGCCAAGGTGAGGTGACACAATGGCTGGGAAAGGAGGTGGGGTGGAGTGAAGCAAGGGGAAAGGGAGCAGTCAGTGGTCTCTTTCTGAGGTAAGCAGATACTTTATGGTGAATTCAAGGAGAGGAAACTGGAGATGCCAGAAATTTAAGTTCAGAGAGCAACAAAGAAAAAATATGATAGATAACTTGGGGCTTGGAAATGCTAAGAGATTTATGGAAATCAACTGGTGGCAACTTTATCTTTAATCCTCAGACTCCAATTAAGTGGATGGCCCTTGAGAGTATCCACTTTGGGAAATACACACACCAGAGTGACGTCTGGAGCTATGGTCAGTGCATCTGGGTGACCTCTATATAAAATCCACAACTGCCTTTTGAGTCACCTCCTCTTATAAACTATAAGCCTTTCAGATCCTTGTATCAGATCAAGTTCTGCCTTCCCTTTACATCGTGCCCATGTCTACTGTTTTTGTACTGACTAGTCAATTTTTTCCTGTACCAGGTGTGACAGTTTGGGAGTTGATGACCTTTGGGGCAGAGCCCTATGCAGGGCTCCGACTGGCTGAAGTACCAGACCTGCTAGAGAAGGGGGAGCGGTTAGCACAGCCCCAGATCTGCACCATTGATGTCTACATGGTTATGGTCAAGTGTGAGTTACCTGTTGACCTCAGCCATTTCTGACTTCCCTCCCTATTCCTCTATGGCTGTATTCCCTTTTCTCATACTACCTGCTCCATCTTACCCCCAGGTTGGATGATTGATGAGAATATTCGCCCAACCTTTAAAGAACTAGCCAATGAGTTTACCAGGATGGCCCGTGATCCACCAAGGTATCTTGTCATAAAGGTGAGTAGGGACTAGGAGATTTCAAGGACATTTAGAGAAAAGAGAACTTGGCTGGAACCTGGATCAACCGTAACAATCACCTTCCCCTATAGAGAGAGAGTGGACCTGGAATACCACCTGGGGCGGAGGCCCCTGCTTTGTCAAACAAGGAACTGGAGGAAGTAGAGTTGGAGCCAGAACTTGACCTAGACCTAGACTTGGAGGCAGAGGAGGACAGCCTGGCAACCACACTGGGCTCTGCCCTCAGCCTACCAGTTGGAACACTTAGTCGGCCACGTGGGGTAAGACACCTTCTAATTGCCCAAGATACTGTGTGCCCTGAGCCCTCATTAACCACATAGATACCAGATTAACTAATCAAAGGATCCTATGGTAAAAATAGATTTCTCTCTTCATTTTAACCTTTCATTAGTTTTTTCATTCTAGAGCCAGAGCCTTTTAAGTCCATCATCTGGATACATGCCCATGAATCAGAGTAACCTTGGGGAGGCTTGCCAGGTAAGGTCTGCTGCCGAGGGGCAGGGTGGCAGAGTCTTAGGGATTTGATAGGGTTGATAGGGGTAGTGTGGGAGACATTAGATACCTTTAAGGTTGAATCTGTATCCTGAAAAAATGAAGGAACTGAACATCCTAACCTTCTAAACAAACATCTCTTCTTTCCTCATCTTTGTATAAATCTCCTTATATTATTTTCCTCCTTAGGATTCTACAGCTTGTGGGGGAAATGATTGGTGTCCCCGTCCAGTCTCTCTGCACCCAGTGCCACGAGCACGCCTGGCATCAGAGTCATCAGAGGGCCATGTGACAGGATCTGAGGTTGAGTTCACAGAGAAGGTGTCAATGTGTAGAAGCCGGAGCAGGAGCCGGAGCCGGAGCCCACGGCCACGTGGAGATAGCGCCTACCATTCCCAGCGCCATAGCCTGCTTACTCCTGTCACCCCACTCTCCCCACCAGGGGTAGAAGAAGAGGATATCAATGGTTATGTCATGCCAGATACACACCTCAAAGGTGCCTGACTTTTCCATGGCTTTCCTCAAATCTTCCTCTAATCCTTTATCAGAGGTCCTGTTAATTCTTTCTCTTCTCTGATCACATCCCTCTCTATTCATTTTTTCTAATTTACCCTACCCATTTCTGCCCTTTGCCATGAAGTTCACATTCCTGTTCTTTCTTCTCAATCCTAGGTACTTCTTCCTCCCGGGAAGGCACTCTTTCTTCAGTGGGTCTCAGTTCTGTCCTGGGTACTGAAGAAGAAGATGAAGATGAGGAGTATGAATACATGAACCGGAAGAGAAGGTGCAGTCCATCTTGTCCTCCTAGGCCTGGTTCCCTTGAGGAGCTGGGTTATGAGTACATGGATGTGGGATCAGACCTTAGTGCCTCGCTGGGCAGCACACAGAGTTGCCCACTCCACCCTGTGCCCATCATGCCTACTGCTGGCACAACTCCAGATGAAGACTATGAATATATGAATCGGCGGCGTGGTGGAAGTGGTCCAGGTGGGGAATATGCAACCATGGGGGCCTGTCCAGCATCTGAACAAGGGTATGAAGAAATGAGAGCTTTCCAGGGACCTGGACACCAAACTCCTCATGTTCGTTATGCCCGCCTCAAAACTCTACGTAGCTTAGAAGCTACTGACTCCGCTTTTGATAATCCCGATTATTGGCATAGCAGGCTTTTCCCTAAGGCTAATGCCCAGAGAACATAACCTCTGCTCCCTGAGACATTCAAGGAGCATTTGATGGCAGCTAGTGCCTCTAGAGGGTACCCCTCTTCTCTGTACTCCCTCTCCCCTTTTCAGCCCTATTTCTCCAGTCATAGACAATTCCATTCAACCCTTTGGAGGCTTTTAAAGACTTTGACACAAAAATTTTGTGGTATGTACCTGGCTGTGCACTTTCTTCTCTTTCCCAACCCCAGGAAAGAAGAAGGTTTTCCTATTTTGTGTGCTTTTCCAATCCCATTCCTCAGCTTCCTCAGGGGGAACACCCTGGAGATATGAAGGATCACTCCCCTGGTCCCTTTCTCTCAGGCTCTTACTTATTTGGATTAGACTGTTATGTGTGCTTTTACTTCCCATCAGACTGTCCTAAGGAAAAGATAGGGGGAAACCTGGAAGAGGAAAGTAAATTTTTGGTTTATGACTCTTAAGCCTCTGGAAAGACTGGGAAGCTTAAAATTTTGTGGAATGAAGAAACAGGAGATACTACTATCAATTGAGCATTTATTATGAGCCAATCATCATGCTAAACTTTGCCTACATTATCTCACATAATCCTTTTGAATCATTACAATTTTGTAAGGTAGATTTTATCTCACTTTACTTATATAGTAGTTCCATCAGGTACTCTAGTGAAACTGGGAGTAGGTAGTAGCATACCTGTAATCCAAGTAACTCAGGAGGCTGAAGCAGGAGGATCACAAGTTTGAGGCCAGCCTGGACAATTTAGTGATACCGTCTCAAACAAAATGAAAAGGTCTGGGGATATAGCTCAACAATAGAATACCTCTGGGTTCAATCCTTAGTACCAAAACCAACAACAACTTAAAACCCAGTCAATTCCTGAAAATGCAAATAGTACCAAGCCCTATAATTTAATGCCTTTTCCATCTTAACTAAGCATTTATGCATTATGGCCATAAGTTTTGCAGTTGGAAGCATGACAGCAAAACTAGTACTAATTTCCTTTCCCCTTTCACAATTTCAGATAGTTATGTTCTTACCATGAATCTTAGCAACCTTAGCATATTATTCTTTTTCTTTCCTTATTGAGGACTTTCATCTTTTCATTTTAAAGGAAGTCTTTTATGGCTTCTATTTGGCATGTCTGAATTATTAGCACCACAGCTCTTGTGCTTTGGGGCTATTATTAAGTAAAATAAGGGTAAACAATCACTGTGATACTACAAAAGTCTAATGGAGGACTGCTAAGTGACAAAGGGGCAGGTAGCCTATACTGTGTGTGGATACACTGGGCAAAGGGGTGATTCACCTCTCAGGACAGCAGGATGGTGTGCAATTACATCATGCAACTCAGAATGGTGTACAGTTTATATAAATTATTTTCCATTTATCATCTTCAACCTGTAGTTGACTACAGATAATGAAATTGCAGAAAGAAAAACCGTAAGTGGGGACTGAGCTTTGAAGAAATTAATGAAGCAGCAGATGGAAGATTCAAAATTTTTCAGTCCCAGTGCATTCACTCTTATAAGGTGTCAAGGAAAACTGTATGATGGAGCCCTTGTAAAAGGCATTGTTTTCTTGGTTTTGCACTGAATTAAACCCAACCCCAATAGCCACATCCTCATTCTACACTCAGATTTGTGCTTTCAGGAAGTGTGTATGCATGGCGCGGCGGGCTCAGAAAGAAATACAACTGGACACTTTGTGTAGACCATAGCTCATTTGTGTTGTCAATGATCTCCACTCCTTATGAACTGATTCACAAAGGTCTCCAAGACGCACTTTCAGGAGCTATTCTGATCCAGTAATGAGAAGCTTTCAGGTGGAACATAAAGAAGTCCTATCTTCAGACCTCTGTCCTCTTAGATGGGACTGGGGAAAAATGTTGTATCAGTGAAGTTTTTTGTTTTGTTTTTATACATGTCTGAATAAAAATGCCCAAGTTTTTTCAACTTCCTGTTTGTCAAATGAAAACTTTGTAAGATAAGAAAGCATTCCTTTTCTTTGCTCCTCAGAAGTGAATAGCTGCTTTTCTCTGTCTCCAGACATTCCTACTCTATCCCATCCAACTTTCTCCAATACCATTTTTATTTGTATTCCTTTAAAGCAATCATGGAGGACAGTCTTTTTTTTTTTTTAAGGGTTTTACTAGGACTCATTACACAGGCAACAACTAGGAATAACAAAACAAAAACCACATGCTTAGGAAAGTTAGAAAAAGCTTTATAGATGGGCTTTCTCCTTCGCAAGTGTAATAATGAAACCTAGGATACTTCAGAACAGTTCTCTTTAGAGTGAACAAATCTCTCTTCTTGAACATTTCCCTGAGGTGTTCCATCAAAGGCTATTGTTGGAATAATAAATGCCATCTTCTGTGGGAGTCTGGAGCCTCAGCGTAGGGAGGACATAGTAAAGAGACAATCCCTCGGAGTCTGGCTGCCCAAGTTGGCCTCGCTGCCCAGTCCCTGCTCTCAGCACCCTTCCTTGTCCTTCCACGTCCGCTGTGCTCCTCCCCAGCATTCGAGGACGATTAGACCGGCTGGGCCGGTCGCGCCTGTAGATCCAGAGACCAAAGGCTGAGCGCCCAGGCTCCCCGCCCTAGGTGTAGACATTGCCCATCCACCTCGGCTCCACCCTGCCCCTACCGACTTTAAACCCATTCCCCGCGCAGCTCCACCCCCTACTTCTTCAGCCCGCCTCCTTCTGTTACGGGCTCCGGGTCAGCACTCGGGTGGATGTGGTTTTTCCCGGAGAGACCACGCTTTCCTTCATGCTCCCCAACGGCTCCGCCTTCCCGCCGGAGCCTGACCCTTCCCAGCGTGCCCGGCGATTCCGGCGTGCTAGGCCCTGGGAGGGCAAGGCCCCAGGGCCTGGCGGAGGGGCGCGAGGGGCAGGCTGGGAGTTGTAGTTCTCCTGTGCACGAGGGCAGCTGGAGGCTGGCGGAAGGCTGGACTCGTTGTCCCAGCGTGCTCTGCGCCTCTACCCGCGCGCTCGCAGCTTCTCGCTCTCGCTGCTTGCCCGCCCGCTCCCTTGCTTGCTCGCGCTTTCGCTCGCGCTCTGCTCGCGGATCCAGGAGGCTTTGGCCACTGCGTGCGGCCGTGAAGGGAGACAGGCGGCGGCTCAGGGGAAAGGAGGCTGCATTGGTGGTGGTAGTAAGAAGATGTCGGGCGAGGACGAGCAGCAGGAGCAAACTATCGCCGAGGACCTGGTCGTGACCAAGTATAAGATGGGGGGCGACATCGCCAACCGTGAGTGCGGCCTCAGGGGTCTGGGAGTCGAGGCTGAGAGGGAGAGGTGCCGGTCTATCCCCAAAGGGGCTGGAGCGGCGGGGTCTTGCGGAGTGAGCTACCGAGGGGCGCGCACCGGCCCGCGGGGGGCGGCGTGGTGGGAAGACCCGGTGTCGCGCCGGGGACGCAGTGGCCCGGCCTGGGCTGGAGTCTGGAGGTGCGGGCCTGCGTCCGGGAGGAGAGCAGAGAGGGGCCCCCGGCAGGCCCAGACTCTAGGCCGTTGGTAAGGAGGCAAGGCGCGTCCTTTACAGCCCCTCACCCTTCACTCCTGTTCTCAGCCTTCTCTGGTTCTGGCAGCAGCGAGGCCACCTCCAAAAGGAAGCGCCCAGCTGCTGGCGTCAGAAGCACTCTGTTTTGTTGCGGTTCCCGGCGGTCCGGAGCCGAGCCGGCACGTGTTGCTTAGACCCCATGCGAGTCGCTGTCTTCTCTCTTCCTTTGCTACAGTCCCTGACACCAGCTTCCACCACGTGCTTTACTAGAGCCTTTCCTTCTTTACTTCGGCTTTTACCCTGGTGGGGGCCCCCTTTTACCCTAGGTTTAGCACTGGGGACCGTTGGAAGGCACTCCTGGACCTTCTGACACAACTCCTGGAGATAATGTCTGCTTTTCTGGAAGTTATTCATTTTTACCATCGCTCCAATCTGTGCAGATGGCCTTAGCCTTTAAATTTGATTGTTCTCAGGGATTTGACAGTGTTTTGAGGTTCTGCTCTCCTTCCAACTAGGCAAGTTTGTGAACAGTACTAGAAAAGGGGAGACTGATTATAGAATTGTCATAAGTTGTCTTTATTCCATTTGTTTTCTGAGCAGTTGCCTGCTACTCTGGACAGATGTCTCACTTTCTGTTTTCTCTCTTTCCAATTCCACTTTTAAAATTTAAAACCCACTTAGGGAGATAGAAACTGCTTGTCCTTGAACTTTTTAAGTAATTTGACAGTAAAGATATTTGGGAGGAGATATCTGGAATGCTTTTAGTCCTGTGGCTGAAAATTTCAGGTTTTATGGCTTCCAAACAATCATCAAAACAGATCTCAAAAATCAAACCTAAGGGGCTGGGGATGTGGCTCAAGTGGTAGTGCACTTGCCTGGCATGAGTGCAGCTAGGGTTCGATCCTCAGCACCACATACAAATAAAGATGTTGTGTCCACCGAAAACTAAAAAATAAATATTAAAATTCTCTCTTAAAAAAAAATCAAACCTAAATTTCAGGATGGATGATAATAGGAAATGAATAGACTCCTTTTTGATGTGTTTTAGTGTTGATACTTTAAATCTGAAAAAAGAAGTTTTTCCTCTTTCTTGCAATGCAGAATTTGAAGCACTGGTGATCTCAGGTACCAATTTTGAAATTGAGATCTCATACCTCTTTGAGATCTACTGAAAGTTATAGCCCACGAGCCCCCCTGGAGCTCAGGATCCTTAGATTAAGTCCCCTTGGCTTATATACTTATTTATGAAGAAAAAGTCTACATATAATTGCGATTACTAACACCTAATTAGAGTGACGAGGAGAGAAGAAGGTAACATTTAACAGTGCATCAGCTTCGAGTCAGCAATTCTGTCTACCTTCCCATTGTCTCTGATGCCTATAAATTTCTTCTAATCTGCTTGGCATGTATGTGGGGTACCTTGGCAAGAGCCTGCTGAACTTCATAATTCTATCTTAACACACAAAGGGATCTTTGGAAAGTTTGAGGCCTTGCCTAAGGAGACAGATTACATATACCCAGTTGTCACATAATGTGAGGGAGAAAAAGGAGTGTTGGGTTTTTCTATTTTTAGGAAAAGAAGGTAGAAATTAGAGATTGTAAGTAGATAGATTCCAAGAGTCAAGAATTGTTTTCTCCTTCAACGTCAGGACAATGACACTAGGGAGTATTAAAATTTTTGAGTCCAACTTGGGTGGTAACTAGATAATAAATATATGCACAGCTGAGATGGTGGTATTGTGTCCCCAGGGGTACTTCGATCTTTGGTGGAAGCATCCAGTTCAGGTGTGTCGGTACTGAGCCTGTGTGAGAAAGGCGATGACATGATTATGGAAGAAACAGGGAAAATCTTTAAGAAAGAAAAGGAAATGAAGAAAGGTAAGGAAAAAAAAAAGATTCCCTCCCTAATTTACCAAGTTTGACCCTTATTTGGTCCTCTGTTTTTGTTTTATCCATTGTAATTGTGTGATCCCCACCCCAGCTATGTTTGAGGTATTTGAAAATTTGGAGTGCCAGGTAGGATAGCGTTTCCTACCCAATCCAAACTTACTGAGCTTAAGCAAGTCCCTGGAAAAAAAACTAAAAAACAAAGAACTTTTCATTTTTCTAAAGGGCAACAGGGCTCTGGAGAGAGAGCAAGATAGTAAGGCTGGTGATTCTTTTTACAGGTATTGCCTTTCCTACCAGCATTTCGGTAAATAACTGTGTATGTCACTTCTCCCCTTTGAAGAGTGACCAGGACTATATTCTCAA